TCGAATAAAACTACTAAAACCCTCTGAGAACACACATCTCCGCCATAGTTTCAGAGGAACAGTCACCTCCATTCAAGACAGATGATTTTGGGAAATAATGTATGGGGTATTGGGCAAACAATCTCAACGCCCCAACTCAGACCCTTTTGTTGTTTGGATTTCTGGGACAAGAAGAAATCATCCAATTTGAGCTTCGTCTTGGGTTGGAATTGGAATTGGAATTTTTCTGCTCGAAATAAGTCATATTCTGCTTCTCATAGACACCCCAAGAAATCCACTTTGCGTTGCTGTTGCGCCGACAATAAAAGCAGCAACAACGGTGATGCTACTAGCTCTACATCGGACTGGGATTGGAATCGATGGAGCCGTCATTTCTCTGAGATTGAACAGACTGAAAGTTTTGCTTCGGTTCTCAAGGTACCCTTTTTTTGTTTTCTTTCTTTGTCTCTCTGTAAGTATCCTTTTTGTTCTTTTCTTGTATATTATATGCAGGTATTTTTGGGTTTTCTGTGGATTTGGTGTTTTATAATATGTAAAGGCTAAGATAGTATTTTTTTTTATTTTTCGTTCCATTGATATGGAGTTTTTGGAAAGCAATTTTTATCTATTTTGAAGGAAGGATGCTAGTTCAATGCTAGACAAATCCTGGAAAGTCATTGCCCTGACTAGAACTTGTTGCTTTCCTTGTAGTTCCAACTTGAGGAAGCAATTGAGAAGGAAGAATTTGAAGAAGCTGCAAAGTTGAAGCTGGCTATTGCAGAGGCTACTTCAAAGGACAGTGTAGCTGAAATCATGTCTCAGTTGAAGGTTAGATCTTGATGTACTTTTAGGATGGAGATTGGAGAGAGTGTTTAATTTTTGGGGGCCATAGCATGATTTGTTTTTCTCTGCAGGATGCAATAGCTGAAGAACGGTACCATGATGCTTCAAGGTTAGCCAGAAATACAGGAAGTGGACTGGTAAACTTCTTAGTTGCTGCAAACTCTTGTGTTGAACAACTTTCCTTTCTAGATGCTAGTATCCTGCAATAGACTATGCATGGGCTTCTTCAAGCTCTTTTTTCAGGATTTTAAACCAAACCAGATGGGTTGTTAGTGTACTTAAAGTTGAAGTTACATTGCCTCCATTGACAGGTAGGATGGTGGGTGGGCTACTCAAAGGAATCTGATGATCCATTTGGTAGAATGGTACGTATAACACCTGGTGTGGGCAGATTTATTGCCAGGAGTTATAGTCCAAGGTGAGAAATCTCTTTCTGTTATGATCAATGTTTGATAAAATGTAAAGTGTTTGTAGTCATTAAATTACTGTTTGCTTACAGGCAATTGGTTACTGCATCTCCTGGAACTCCACTTTTTGAAATTTTTGTAGTCAAAGATGCTGATGGGACATATCTTATGCAGGTAAAGGAAATATTCCTTCGTGATTGCAGCCAATTTGAAGTATTTCATTAAAGTTCACATTTGTGGATTTTTTTTAAAGACCAGTTTACATTTGATATATTTGGTTACTTGCCGAATGATCATGTAGTTTGACCAGGTTACTTGTGTATGGTTGTAGAGTAATAGAGATTAGCGTTTGGGCTATTGTTGTCTTTACATTTTTTTTCCATGGTTTTTTATGGGGTTTATTATCCATGCTTTGGCAAGCTAGAAACATCATTTGACCATTTCTTGTTTATGCTATGTGGATGGGTTTAGATTTAATAGGAATGGTACCAAGGGATTATGGTAAAAACTGTATCTGATAGTGATGCATTAAAAATTTGATTAATCTGAAACCCCCATTAAATACATGGTGATCTAGTTTTTCAGTGTGTAATACATTGTTTTGATCTCCCTAGTTGCTTGGAGACGGAATCATTTGGTTTTAACCAGGCAAAGTAAATAGTATGCAAATCCTGTCCTCTGCATTTCTGCACTGTGCTCTGAAATGCTATCCTCCAGCCTATGTTGACTCACTTGAACCGGAAATCCTTCAAGCTCTACATAATTCCTTTTAAGGAATTTGGTTAGAATCTGTAGAGTTCACAACTTCATATTAGAACAGAATAATGCATATAATACTAAATCATTTTTATGGGCAACTTAAAAACCTTTGAAGTTGTGGTCCAGAAGATGTGTATAGGCAACATTAGTGGATTTTCATCCATGGTCAAGGTTGTGCATCCTTTAAAATCATATCAACCTCTACTATGGAGAGGCATTGTTCAACATTCCAAGATGCTCAGCCTGAAATTAATTTTGCCATTCTAAGTATTCACATTACACTGTATTAAGCTGTATCAGGACAATGTTGGGATACTATTGCCATGTATCTGTTTCTCTGTAGACAACACCTTTGAATGATCTAATGCAGCATTTTACTACCATTTTACCATATATGTTACAAGAAGTCTTGATGTTTGTTCTATGGCTAGATCTGTACAGAGTTGATAGCAGACTGCCTTATCCCAATTTAAAATGTTGTTTGGTGTTAAACGGTTAATGTCCTGGCTTAAGTGATTCATTGATTACGGCTTGACCTGGTCAGCATGTTTTCTGGTGCATGGCTACCTTCAGAGACATGCAATAGTGTTTCTTTGTAAAATTTTCATACAATGCTTTAATTTTGGAGGCATTTATGCTCGTTTATATCTGATTGAATTCTGTCAGTCTCCTCACATCCCTTTAAACAGAATCTCACATCTGCCTTTGCCATTTTCCTTTTACTCATACCATTTATGATATACTCTTCTGATGTTACATTTGTTGGCAGGTTGTCTATTTGCAGCGTGCAAAAGGAAGTTCAACAAATAGTGGCAGTTCATCTTCCAAGTCCACAAAAAGTCCATCAACTTCTGAAGTTGAGAATGCATCCACTGTAGACCTTCCAGGAAATGAAGTAAAGGCGGAGAGAAGTGACGGGAAGGGAGTAAATACTGAGGGTGTGACTGAGGAAGGGATAAAAAGTGTGATTAATTTTCTTAAAGATAAAATTCCAGGACTGAAATTCAAAGTCATGGATATTGATGTTTCTGAAGTGGCAGATGATAGTGATTCTGTGAAGCAGTTGATGGAAGAAAATAACGAGAAGAGAGGACCAAGTGAAAATTCTGAAGATGAAAGTGATGACTTGGAAGAGATTCAACCTGATGAAGTTGCTCTTGCAGAAGGTAGCAATCCTGCAGAAGATGGAAAAAATATGGATGTGAAGCTTTTTATTGGTGGGATTGTACATAATAATGAGGAGACTCCTAAAAAGGAAGATTATGTACGTCTTCCAGCTGAAATCAAGGACTTGGATAGAGATTCTTTTGTGCTACATCTTCCCACGAGAAGCTTAGATAAAGAAAGTGCAGAAAGAAGAGTATCTAAGGTGAAAGTAGCGGCTATAGCAGCCCAAAGTGTCTCTGACCTTATGCCCCCAGATGTTGCTAAGGCATTTTGGACTTCAGATAAAGCTTCTTCAAAGGTGAGATTTATATGTAAACCATTCAACCCAAAACTGCTACTTCTGTGTGCATAAAATTAATTTTTTAATGACAATAGCTAACTACTTAACCTTATTTCAGGTTTCCAAAGATGTACGTGAGATTGTTAAACTTGCTTTTAGCCAGGCACAGAGACGGAGCAAATTGTCTGAGTACACAACTTTTACTCGAATTAGCCCTTCTGATGGCAACTTAGATCCATTTGATGGTAAGAATTGAAATTTAAGAGAGAGAGAGAGAGAGAGATGTAGAGAGAAGAATTTTGTGGCATCTATGCCTGTTTATTGACCTGGTATTCTCTATTTGATTGAGACTAACTGAATTAGTGCAGGGCTGTATGTTGGTTCATTTGGTCCTTATGGCACTGAGATTGTGCAACTGAGACGGAAATATGGCCACTGGACTGGTTCAGATGACAAGGCTTCAGATGTGGAGTTCTTTGAATATGTTGAGGCAGTAAGGCTTACTGGAGATCTTAATGTTCCAGCTGGCCAGGTTTATATATATATAATATGAATTAATCTTTTATTCTGTGGATGCAATGATTTTATGCTAATCAACATAACTTTTTGATCTTTAGGTGACTTTTCGTGCCAAAATTGGTAAAGAGAGTCGCCTTACCAACCGTGGAATGTATCCAGATGAACTAGGAGTGGTCAGTTTACATTCTCTCTCTCTCTGGTATCTTTTTGAATAGTTTTATCTTTAAGTTAGAATCTCTTTTTCGCGGCATCACTTTGGACTACATATTTAATTTGATTTAATACTCTAAAATTTAGGTTGCAAGTTACAAAGGTCAGGGAAGAATAGCAGAATTTGGGTTCCAGAATCCAAGATGGGTTGAGGGTGAGCTTCTGCAACTTAACGGCAAGGTAACAAAAAATTTTCAGCACCCTTAACAACTTGTTAGAATTCATGGTACTGTTTAGTTGCATTACCTGACCTCTATTTGTGGATTAAAAAAACTGTTACCCATTCAACATTACGTGCAGGGCATGGGACCCTATGTAAAGGGTGCTGATCTCGGCTTCCTTTACATCGTGCCTGAGCAAAGTTTTCTTGTACTATTCAACCGTTTAAGACTTCCAGGGTGAGCATTGTCTATTGGCGATTAATTTAATCTCCTTTGATGCGGCAAGAGATCAAGCATCTAATGCAGAGTAGTGACTTCTTTTATATACCATGTGTGAAAGAAGATAGCTGTATTATATGTATGCCCACAATTTGTTTTTCATCTCCTTTTGTTTCTTTCTTTTTGCTTTCTGGGGTGCAGGAAGGGTTGGCATATTTGATTTTGCACCTTTCATGCCAACCTTTTCCTGTTCCCCATTTCTCAACAGTGTACATTATTTTTGTTAATTTACCATATAAAGAGATAACTGATGTGAAATGATTCTATCCTTTTAATTTTTGGTATTTACAATCAAATTATCTGTGAACCAGCTGTTGATCATTTTAATGAATGTGATGTATGTTGCTATTCACCTCGCTCTTGCATGGTTCCTCATTCAGCATAGGTTGGATTAGAAGCAAAGGCAAACTTAACCATGGTGGTCCAATATAATTAAGGCATCTCAAGCTTAAAGTTCCATTCAAATGAAGCAAATAAATCCACTCACATCATCGGTAGAGTGTGCATCTCATTGGGCCAGACTGTGTTTCAATCCTCTAAAGCAAATCAATGTCACATCATTCGATCCTCCAAAGCAAATCAATGTCACATCAAAAGTTTCATACGAAATTACATAAATTTTGTTGTTACATGGTAAAAAAAAATGCGGATACCCATTAATTAATGATACAATTGTCATCCCATACCAAAGTAATTTTTTGTTGACCTATAAAGTAAAAAAAAAAAAAAAACCGTTTAAACTCCATTTTGATCCTTTTATATTAATGAAAAATTCTTTTTTTAGTCCCTCTACTTAAGAGAATCATCTTTTGGGCCCTAAAATTTATTATTCAACCCATTTTAATTTTTTCATTATCTTTTTACATGTGTAGTACATTAGATGGCAAATCTTTTAAATTTTAAATCATTCATAAAAAGCCCCTTTCAGTCTCTCTATTTTGAAAATTTTGTTATTTAACATGTTATGTATGTAAAAAGATAATAGAATGACTAAAAAAAGGATTGATGATAAATTTTAGGGACCAAAAAAAGACATTTTCAAGTAGATGTACTAAAAAGAAACTTTTTGTTAAAGCAAATGGATCAAAATGAGGATAAAAAAAAAAAAAAGGAAGGGAAGAAGAAGAGAAGAAGAAGAAACTAATAATAGATTATTAGATCATAATGGTTTCCTTTTGTTGTTTAAGCAGTGAAGGCGTTGTATTGC